ATGTGATGCAGTGTTGTTTCATATAAAGAGAACCAATTTTGTATATTTTTTCCTCGTTTTCGTAAAGAATTGCACGGCATCTTATTGAAAGCTAATTAAATATGTGTGAGAAGTCATGTAGTGATCAATGGATATTAATGTATGAAATAAAGAAGAGTCTAGGCATTTTGGTGGATGAAAATTCTGATAGCCTAGTGATAGAAGCAGGCCACCGTTTAAACTCCCCATATTATGTTTAAGTAATATATCTACTTAAACGACAGAAATATCAGGTAAGCGGCTAAAAGAAAGCATTACTTTTATTATTCAGGGTTTGAGCAGAAGGGTGCAACAGAAATAAATGAACAACAATATCGGTCTAAAAGTACATCAGATATGTGAAATTTGCATAGACTATACACAAACTGTACGCGTGTGAACCTCTTGATTTAAAGTTAATTCACAGATTTTGTCGTTAATTTATCCTTTATTCAGAAGCTTCCTAAGATGCTTATTCACTCTGATTTCGATTGTTGTCATTGTATCGTTCTATGACATTCGCCTGAATGCTAACAACTCATTATTAGTACACCTCAATTTTGTCTAAGAATAACAATTTTATTGTTGCTTTGTAGGTTTCTCAACGCTAATCTGTGCTCTTTAGTGAACACCTTCCGATACTGCTTCTTTGTATAAACAATGATCAAGTTTAATTCAGTAATTACCTGTAAGGGTGAACTAGAAAGCTAAGCATGAATTCACTTTAGGACACTATTCCTGCAGAAATAATCATGACCTGTTGTGAAAAAAAACATGACTAAACTCCATCCTCGTTTTTTTATTGTTCGCTAATTTTCCGGCAATTCCTAAACTCCAGAAAAGAGGGAAGGTTGAGTGCAGGGATAAAGAGGCTAGCCTGGAAAACCAACCCAATCTCTAAAGAAACTTAAAAGCACAACAAAAGTATTAAAAAAGATCTAGCCGAATGAACTTAATATTGGGTAAATAAACGTCTTGCCTGTCGACAGATGCTATCGGTGTTTTAAGTTTCGTTTTAACGAGTACACATCCGGATAGGCTCGAACACAGACCCTGAGATTGTAATTCAGCCATGTCAGCCATATAAACTCTAAATTTTCTCCCTTAAGTAAACATAATTTCTTATTCTATTTAGATTTATTTTTATTTTTTTTTAATTTTTGATTACAGCTTGATCCACACTGTATTTTTGGTACAATTATGGAATTTTCAGCATTTGATATCGGTAGCCCAAATTTTACAGGCCGACCATAGATATCAGGTGTGCGTTGGCAGGGGATCGAACCTCGGACCATGTGCATGGTCGGTGAGACTCCTAACCACTGTGCCACCGACGCACATATATATATTCCTCATTACAGCACATTATTCAATAACTGAGTCTTTTTGATTCGCGTTTTATTATCAATACCTACAAGTTGGGTAGAGTACTGACCGATTGACTAATTAGGTATACTACGTCTAGTAAGGCTGGTATAATGTAGCTAATCAATAGCACTATCAAAAGGTACAGTTCCTTTTTATCCTGTCGGGTCTTTCTTTTTTTGTTCTAATCATCGAATAAATTCACTGGTACAAATATATCAGATAAACAAACCTACGTTTATATAACGGAAACACGGTTCAGAAAATCCCTCCTGGACGATCTAATCGCAATGCTTATACTTATTCGTATGTTTTAGCTAACTTTGTAATGATAATTAGTTTCTCTACCAGAGCATATATCGTTGTTATAACGTTTGCATATCATATGTTTACCTGATCCTCATTATTTCTCCTTGTCACCATTTAATATCTAATTTACATACTTCTGTTTTTTTTTGTGTGATACATCCATACTGTTGTGTTACAAAATGATTTTGTTTGAGTGAATATAGGTGATTCTAACTTTGAACTGTCTGTGTGAATTTTTCGTATGTGATTCTTCTGGATGGAGTTCTTGATCCCACCTTGCTGGAAATATTCTGCCTGATTCTCGAGTATAAGTACTCGAGAACAGAACCACACACAGACTCAGACTAAGAACAATCGTCTTTTTGCTGTCTTTGAAGCGTTTTGTGACTAGGCGTGTCTCAAAGAAGTTTTTTTAGTTATATAGTAAGACTCGGAGATCGGTTTCTTGCGTTCAGACCACAACAAGTTGGCTTCGGTGGTTACAATTTTGAAAAAATCAAGAACAACAATTGTACCAGGATAATACGAGCTCATCTTTTATTATTTCGAGGATTCTTCTCAATTGGTGACAACCTGAACGTTAAAAAATATGAATTACATTAAAGATATGAACATACTTTTCCACGATCTTAAGGAGTAATTTGTAGGAATTAAAAGTAACAATAGTCTTGAATGATTTAACTGATTAGGAATTACAAACACTGACTATCTATAAAATAATTAGATAGTTAGGCTTGGAAACAAAAAAAACAGGGTTGCGTATAAATATGTGTGCATAAAAACAAGGTTTAGATAGAAGTGCATAACAAAAACGTAGATACGTAACTAAAGAAAACGTCTTATCTAATAGCCAATAGAAAAGAGGAAAAAAAAGAAACAAGGTAGGGCGAGTCATGTTTAGATGAGAGAGTAGAGTTTTGTAAACAAGAAAAAGGGTGACTCATGAAAGTTGTATATTTTATTATCACCAGGGCAGTTCAGGATTCACCACTGTCTCTTTCTGCGTACATAGATTTGGTTTAAGTCGTTTGATGGCAATTGCTTCAGCAAAGCTTAGCAAGCTAGGTTTCTTTTGCTTGTAGATTATTTTGAACGACTTCAGGTTGTCTACAATATGACCAGTGTCCAATAGATGACGAGCAATCGCACTGTTTAATGCTTACGGACCTTTCAGTCTCACGTCCTTTGGTATGTGTTCATAAATGCGGATACTAACCCTTCTCTCTGTTCTTCCAATGTATGTGCTTTGGCACGTACATGTAAATTGGTAGACGCAGTTGGAGGTAACACGAGGTGGGTATTTGTCCACTTTGATTGTCTAAAACAACTAGTTGTTTGATAGACACATGCAAACTTGGCGGCTGGATATGTTCTTTTCAAGGCAGCGTTCAGTCTGCATCTTATTCTACTAGCAGTATCATCACCTTTGAATGCAAGCTGCAGAAAGATAGGCTTTTTATCTACTGTGCTGCTTTTCATTTTTTCAACATAACGTCTCCCATACTTGTCGATGAACTTTTCTGGGTAACTATTGTCGCGTAGGCATTTCTCCACAATGGATAGCTCTTCCTCAATTTTTTCTTTTGAACACAGTTTCCTCACACGATCAAATAATGTTCTCACTAATCCCTTTTGAAGTTAAGATAAACCGCCCTCCGGGTCCCTTTTCTGTGTATGTATCCTATGATTTTGCCCTCTTTATCTCGTTGGATACCCAAGTCAAGAAAATGGAACTTCTCCTCTTTTTCACACTTCATTGTAAACTCAATATTAGAGTGGGCGCTGTTCGAGACTTTTAATACTTGAGAAGGAATTACAAATAACGAAAGTGTCATCGACATACTTGGTATAGAAGTTTGTCTGACTGGTTGCGGATTTTAACCTTGTTTGTTCTAGACTTCTCATAAAAATATCTTCCAGAATCGGACCCAGGGGCTTCCCATGGTGACTCCGTCAATTTGGCAGTATAGAGTGTTGTTGAACTGGAACTGTACGTCTTTGGTACACATAAGTAAAAGTTGTTTGAGTTCGTTCTTGGGCAGAGGAAGAAGTTCGGCATGTTGACATATAATTTGTATCCTTTCCACCAATGGAATCTTTGTAAACAGTGAAGATACGTCAAAAGGCACCATAAATTTATTTGAGATGTTTAGATTCTCTAATTGTTTAACGAACTGGAATTTGTCTTTAAGGCTGTGGATTGCTAATTTGTCACGGTTTTTTCTAACATTTCTGCTAGCCACCTAGCTACTTTGTGATATGGAGAATTAATCATAGATATTATTGGTCTCATAGGGATGTCAGGCTTATGCATCTTTGGCAAGCCGTACAGGTAGGGCAATCTAGATCTCTTAGGCTTCACTTCGTTGTATATGTTGTTATCAATCAACTTCTTCTTTAAAAGTTCTCTTAACTTCTTTGTAATCCGTCTTCCCATCGATTCGGTTTGATCTTTCTTCGAAGGATCAGTTCGAAATGTTGATGAGTCATTCAGAACTGATTCCACTGTTTTCACATAATTTTTTTATCTATTATCACAACACCTAATCCTTTGTCAGGTCGGAGAATAACAGTAGACTCATTTTTCATTAAGTTTCTTAATGCTAGTTGGTGATCTTTCGACAAAACTGTAGATTTTGGATTCGGTGATATGATATATTGATTAGCAATGTCGACAAGTCGAGATTTAAACCAACCTTGTTTTTCGTCATCTACTGGTCTTAATTCGGACGGTTGATGGTATAAACCTTCGAACTGGGTTACAACATCAATTTTGTTGGTAAATTTCGTTGGAATGTGGATCCTAGTGAAAGTGCTTCTGTTTCTATCTGACTCAGTTTATAATTTGAGAAGTTGAATACGAATTCATCAGGATTCCCAGGAATTCCTTCACATAGTGTTTCTTTAACCAGCGTCTTCGATAAAGTTTCTTCAAATTTTTTATTTTACTAATTTTTTTTTCGATAGGCTGAATCGTTACCATTTTTATATAAAATGAATAGAAGTCCAATGGAATGCATAGTCACAACAAAACACTTAGTTGTCACCAACTCACAAAACAGTTCTGACAGAAATCTCATCAAAAACTGCTTTTTTAAATAGTCTTTATTCAGTAATTACTGATATCTATAGTCTCGCATAGTGAAGAAAGAAATACACTGTTATCTGCCTTATACAAATTATTAACAAAATAGATTGATTTATATTAGCAATAATATGGCTTACTTACTGCTTATTGATAATTTAAATTCATGAAAATATTGATTTCTAAAATACGTATGAATTATTCTTACTATTATTCTGTGTAGTGAATGTGTAGTTTAGTTATACGTTTTTAGACCTCCTAATCCAGTGTGGTATTCATGTTTGTTCTGCGTTATTTCTTTGAAATGTTTGGTAAGTAATTCACAACGATTTTCTCAACAACAACTACAACAACAAATTACTTTAGTTCCTTTAACCCTGAATACTACACAAATATTCATAAATGGATTAAATCCACCGCAGAGAGAAACTTTGCATCTCTATTGAATATAAAGGAATTATTCAGATTATTCGAAGAACTAGATTACTTGTCATGCAAGTTATTTCACACGATAAAGCATCATCCTCACCATCATCATCATCACCACCAGCACTGTCGACTTCACAAATGATTATAACTTCACCAGTTACAATGACAACAGCTATTCATCCTGGTTCACCAGGATTCTCTTTACCACCTAAAATAGGTACATTAATTCCAAATCGTATATTTGTTGGCGGGATTAATTCAAATGTAAGAAATGATTGAATTATTCGAAGAGTTATTATAATTCTTTTCTTTTTCAATATTCAACAGACAACTGAAGATGAATTACGTACATTTTTCTCAACCTATGGAGTTATTAAAGATGTAAAAATTATCAATGATAAATCTGCTCAATCGAAAGGCACTTATGGATTTGTTACATTTGAAAATCAAGAGATAGCTGAAAAAATAATTAAAAATGAGGTAAATTTTTTTTTGATTGGACAAAGGATTTCATCATGAGCTGCCATCACTTAGAGAAACACTGGGAAACCAATAGGGAGTACTGGACAGCTGTTTCGTCCTGATTTGGGACTCTTCACAGCACGCACCCACCGAAGTTCGAACCCAGGATTTTCTAGTTACAAGGCGAGCTCGCAGACCATTAGGCCACTGAGACTCGATCCAATGGCCAACGCATGAATTCTAACTTCTGTCTCTTCATTACATAGCGCGACTATTTCATGTGGCAGTTACTCATCGAGTCTCAGGGGCCTAATAGTCTACGAGCTCGCCTTGTAATCAGAAAGCCCCGGGTTTGAACCCCGGTGAATGCGTACTGCTAAAGATTCTCAATCTAGGACGAAACAGCCGTCCAGTGCTCCTATTTGGTTTTCCAATGGTTCTTTAACTGATTTCAGCACATGATGAAATCCTCCATTCAATGAAACAAAACTTGAAAATTTATTTTTGCTTAAATGTCTTTTATTTATTTTTATTTTACTAATTTCTTCAATAGACTGAAGCATTAATATTTAAAGATAGAAAACTGAATATTGGTTATGCTGTTCGTAAACAAGTAAGTGAAATGCGATAGTCAAGAGATGAGTAAATAATACCAACAATCAGGTTTTCTTCTTGTTGTCTTCTTTTTTCTTCCCTATTTAGAATGTATTTTCAAAACAAGGTAAGCGTTAAAAAAAATACAACTTCGTCTTCTTCTATTCACTTCAATTTGTTTTTTTTATTCAGAAATGGGTAATACATATTTTCTAGCACATAATGTCTGTCCAATGACCACTAATGGATTATCAATGTTTCAAATGTGTCCACATGAATGCTCATTTGTAGCTATGAATCAGGTAATGTTATACTAATTTGTTTATTGATGTATAGATGTCTATATATATATATATATATATATATATATATATATATATATATATATATATTCAGTCAGGTCTAGATTTGAATTCTGTAGACCTTTTATAACTAAAACCTACTACGTTGTATAGGATAACATCTAATTCAACAGTTCATATGAGTCCACTCTTCTAATAGCAATTCAAAAATACATTGTTTCATTTCTGACTGCACACTAGTCAGTAACTAGTGTGATGTGTCTAGTCCTATCTTCGGTACAGACTGAATTCTCTCAGTCATGCTTCACAGTGCACCGTAATGGCGAGCCGACTAGCATAGTGACCACATTGCAAGCATGACTGATAGAATTTAGTCTGCACCGAAGATAGGACTAGACACATCACACTAGTTACTGACTAGTGTCCAATCAAAAATATCCAATACAGTCCTACAGAAGGTCGGTCGCGAGCCTGAACGTTTCTGACTGCAGCACTGAGTGATGCGGGTTCAAATCTCAGAGAGGACATGAATTCCTTCAAGGTTGTAGATACGCCTTGCTGATGAGTGCCAACTAGCACGAAACCTAAAGTCCTAGGCTTCCTGTCGATTGCATCCAACCATCTAATACATTGTTTCATTATTTGTCTGCGTTACTATGTTCATCTTTCTTACAAAGTATAACGAACTGAATGTGTTTGAAACATTAGTATCACCTAAATTACGTTTACTCTTTATGAAAACATCCTCATTAATTGTGGTATATTATCATTTTTATTCCCTTGGTCTCCAAGTGGAATATAGGGCTTCAAAAGCATATCTCTATTTTGTCTTGTCCACCGTATTTCACTTCCTCCTCACAAGATTTCTTTCATATTACCCTCAGATACTCAACCTGTTATTTCTCATTCACCTGCCACTCGAGAGCTTGTCGCCAGATGTCACTGATTGGTCTCCTCAACGTGTGTCAAATCCATCTTCATTTCCTTCTGAATATTTTCTGAACATTAGGTTCTTGATTGTCTCACTCCCAGAATATTCTGTTGCTAATTCTTTTCGGCTATCTGTTCTTCAGTATACAGCCAGCAAAGTCACTTGCTGAGAAAGTTTTCAGAGGCATATTGAAAATGATGTTCGTGGCGCACTAGGTTTCTGACTTATTTAGAAGAACTGAATGACTTTACAGTGATGTTGAAAACCTTAATTTTGTTCTTAATGTTGAATGCAGCAGATAAGTGGAGAAGGTGATCTCTTTCGAATTTCTTCCGTTAAAATTGATTAGTGCTTGCTGATGTTGTTGGTTAGTTACCTCCATCATCTTTGTTTTCTCTACCAGCCTCTTCTGCCAACTTGATTGTTTTAGCCCGTATGTTTTTGAGTTTGTGTGACATTAGACACGAAATGGTTGGTCCTTATCTTTTACAGTCTTGTTATCGATCTAATATATTCCTTTCTTCTTTGCTCCCGACATTCGGTGTTCGACACGATCCACTCCACAACAATGAGGAATATTATCAGTGATATTAGACAGTGTTGTCTTACTCTTATCTTCGCTTCAGACGTTTCTCTAAGTTTTTTCGGTGCCTTTGGCATATTAGTGCAGGAAATCTGACTGTGTACCGTCATTCTTTCGTACACATGTTGCTAATTAAACATTAATCCGGGGTAGTTAAATAGAAATTTGAAACCACACACATAATAACATAATTTGGATTCTGATGTGATAGCCATCATTAAAAAATATACATTTAGGAAGACAAAAGAAATAGTGTTTCACAAAAGAATCGAAAGTTAGGTGTTCTAGTAACATCAAATGTAGCGTAACTTGGTGTCAGTTAATTTAAATCAGCTTTTTTCATTTTCGAGTCAAACATAGCGCTTCAGTTTTTTGAATTTCTGGTAGCGGTGGTATTGTTTGTGTGTGGGGTGATATTTCACATCTCAGATCTTTTTCAGGCTTATTACCAGCCAGTAAATTAGACAAAAAGTGGGTCAGCCAGGGGTCAAACCCTAATCTCCCATTTGGCTGGCGAGTATTCTGCTATTTGCCCACACTAATTTTAACAAATCATATGGCACAAACTATTCGGTATTTATACCGACTATTCTTGACATATTCAAGTATTGGTTTGTAGGGAATAGATTGATTGGTTACAGGATTTCATCATCAGCTGACATCGGTTAGAGAACCATTGGAAAGCCTACAGGGAGTACTGAACAGCTGTTTCGTCCTAGTTTGGGACTCCTCATCAGTACGCGCCCACCGGGTTTCCATGCACAATAATCAATGATACTATCTTCAGTAAGCAAACAAAAATGAATTCCCCTCACACATTATGAAAATACTTTTGATCAGCAGGAATGACCATGAAATTTGGATTCAAGGGATAACAGTGGTTTCAAATGACGACTTAATGATCAAAATATTTATAGAAAGATCTCACAAATTTTGTCACACCTTTGGGTTGTGATTGTGGATAATGCCAATCGATTAATTAAACCCCATCATTTGAGTTGCGCATAAAATCGGAAAACACAGGCTTTGTCTAAAGAACAGTCTCAAATGAGTCATCTGTAGCTGAATCCTGTCAAACGCGGTGTCACTGAATATCAGTAAGAAAAGAAACAAGAGAAAAGCTATGTCAAGAGCAATCTACAGTCAGCTTAGACAACACGCGAGTGTCAAACAAAGGGTAAAAGCACTTGAATAAACCTTATTTAGCAAAGAGGAGTATATAAATAAAACATGTACAGTAGATAATGTTTAACTGTAAGAAAAGAATAACTGTATATCAAATGGAGTATTGATACGCTAATTGAGATAAACTTTAATAGCAAACAATTGATATGTTCATAGAGTAACAAAATGTCAACTGATACTACTTACTAGTGATAGGTAGTATAAAGCTTGACACAAAAGAAAGAATAACAAAGGACAGAAAATTAATTAACATTGATTGACACTATGTACAAAACTACAATCCGTATGACAAGTATCATTTGATGAACGCGATTTGGATTACTCATATATGAAGGCTTAGTTAAGCAGCTATATTGTCGAAATAAATTAATTTCAGGGAATAACTTTACGTTTACGGGTTGTGTTGTGTACTCAGTGAAACGAGGATTATATTAATATCGATCTAACTGATGTCAGCTCATGATGAAATCCTCCATCCAACCAATACTTGAAAATAAATATCGACCTGCTGAAAAAGATTTATGCTAGAAGACCAGTTTAGTCGTAATTTTCTAATCATTAACACATTTTATATCCATAAGATCAAATAACTTTTTTCATTAAATTGCCCCATACTTTTAGCCTGCTATATACTATCCAACGACGTCGACAGCATTGTTGGTGCCTCAGTGTACACCAACAATTCAAGAACTGAATACACAACTCCATGTTAAATATAATACAAGCAAACCAAATCCACAATGCTGCTTTAATTCAAATTTATCAAATATACCATTTATGAGTTATTTATGCACACATAATATGATGTCTGGTCAAAAACCTCAATTAATAACAAATAATATAGGGACAACAATACCAGAAGTATCCCCAGCAGTTATACAGGCAATGACAATAAATTCAAATGACCAACTCTTGAATAATGATTTTAAACCTACAACAACAAATTCTTTAACTCCAAATGTATCCAATCAATTAAAAAATCAGGAAATGAAAATAAATGAATTAAACAACTGCTCATTCACTACATCATCAACAGAAGCATCAGCATTCACCACGCCTAGTCAGCAGAAAACATTTCCTCCACTGACATCCCCTTCAGCCTATTCCCTACCGACTATAAATGCATATCAGAATCAAAATATACCAACAACAAAATATCATCCATGTTTATACATTAAACCAGAAGATACAATCAGATGGACAGATGTCTCACAGAACCCACCGCCTACATATCTATGCGATACTTCACTGACAAAAAATTATGATAATGATCGAATACTAGTTGGTAATACTACCATTAATGCTCCAACTTCTGCTCCCAGTCCTACAACAACAACGACGACAACAAAGACTGTGACTCATACAGATATATGCGGTACTGATAATCCAACTTTATCAAATCTACCACAGCATTGGAATCATTTATTATCTCAGTCTAATCAAAATCAGAATATATCAATATTTTCAAATCAAGCACTGGCTACTCAAATGAAATCAGTAGTAAAGCAACAACAACGCCAATCAGAAATATCCTCAGACATGTTTCATAAACGAATAGATATCATGAATAGTAATAACAGTCAATCAGAATCCCTATTAATGAAAATACTACCATCATATTATGCACAAAATAAAGTAGGATCATTATTGATCAGTCAAAATAATAAAAATGATGATTATGGATCTGTAAACTGCACTAATAACAGTAGTAATCATACAATAAATACAGAAGGACATAATCCACTAAATAATTTATGGAATATAAAACTTGATAATGAAGATTTACAAGGTAAACATCAACGAATTATGTCCAACAAGAATAATACTGATATGAGATATACAAAACAAGTAAGTGGTTTATAAATAAAGCCAATGTTATAAGATTAGTTCAAGAAGGTTTCCTTTATCACATAAAGTTTAAAATCAGTTAAACATAATTGCAGAAGATGCAGTCAACAGTGACTAATTTTCTGTATGTCTTCTAAGGCAATTCATGAAACAGAATGAAAATTTCTTTACCCATTATTTAAATATAAATATGAGGTATAATCAGTCGTCAAGATGTCAGCAGTATGTGTATCCCTGTGCACTACATCAAATGTAAAAACAAAACATGGAACTGAACGTTCACTAGTGACTACTGGATGAATATCCAGAGATTTCAATGAGACGTTGTGGGCGCTAGAGTCTGTCATGACAGGGTAAGGTGAATAATAATCCAAGATATTAGTCTTGGTCTACGGTAGAGCTATATCACAAACTGATGGAAATTACAATTCACCGGTCACTGAATTCTAACCATAAGGCTGAGTAGCCAACTAGCTGACTTCGTAAACTGAAGGTCTAGGGTTCGGCTTCTAGTAGCCTCATATGCATACAGTGGTGAGGCATCTCAAACGAGAACAAAACATCTGTCCACTGATTCTCCAACTGATGTTGGTTTTTGATGAAATTTGTTTTGAAACCATTTCTTTGTTTAAATCTTAGCAACATATAAGCTCTAATCCCGGGGGATTAAGAGTCGAAGGTACGGCTCCAAACTCACATCCCCCTTTCATTCTGTTTTCTGAAATCACCTTTACCTGACTCTACGACTGACCATAGGCTCCTATCTCCTCCATGTCATCTTCGAAGCAAAGACAAACTCGTCATTTCCAATTCACGTCCTACTCGAGAGTGTGCCTGTCACGGTCTCCTCAAGGTATGTCCCACCCACATCCATTTTCCCCTGGATAGGTTCGTTCCTAGAGTTTCTTGTTTCCAATCTTCCCAATAGCCTGATCATCAGTAAAGAGCCAGAGAAGGAAGCTGTTAACAGAAGTCTGTAGCAGGCTGTTAGAAATGCCTGTGGTGATGTATCCATCAGCTAGATAATTAATTTATATTCATAAAGTAAATAAGAAGTGTTTAATTGTGCTTTACAATAATCACTCTCAAAATGTAAACTCAGAATCATTTACTGACACTGGACCACCTAGATCTTACCTTAGAAACGAATTACTTGTTGAAAGGTTCAAGTTAAACAGAATCACATCTAACAGTATGCCTGTGATAAAATTAAATATGAACAATTAAAGTGATTATTCGGGATACTTAGAACAACAACTTTACACTGCAGTTTATTCGGCTGCATAAAGGCATTTACAGTAAAGAAAAAAGTCATTTTTAATGCCTTGATTAACATTACATATATGTATACACCTTTAATATTTCATTTGCAATGAAACATTGTCACATCACTTCATAATCTACAACGTCGAATGTCATCCTTAGGTTAGGAAGTATAACAAGTGACAAATAAGAGAAAACATATACATCAGCTTTGTTTTGAAGATAAAGAGTGTAGAGATTGAATGTGTGAACCAGTTTACTTAATTGATAAATAATACCATTCATAACAGGGTGATTAGTAACGCGATCGTTATAAAGATACTGAAATTCTTTTCAGATTTGTTCATCAGAGATAAACACAAGATGTCGGATTTCGTGAGAGGCCAAGCTTTTTTGTGTTCCTAGCAGAACGACGCTGCTGTTGTAGATGAAAGAGATGATATATTTACATTTTTTTAAATTTTAATTCCTCTTGTAGAATTGTTAGCATGTGACGTTTATGGAGACATAAATGAGGAGGGAAAACCAGCTGACATCATGAATCTTTGTTAAATCAACATGGTGAAATGTGATTAATTGACTTAGCTATTAGTGTGAAGCATGTAAAGAAATGTAGGATGTCTGATAATGAACCAAATTCTACGAACCAATGGCTGGAAGTTCTTAGTGGAACAATTAATTAACCATAGTGGTTAACAATGTAACATATCTTCATCATTTCCGGAGTTCTAAGCAATCCATTTACCTTTATTTAACTCCCTCCTTATTACCATTCACAGTTGTTTATAACATCTTTTTACATTCCATTGCATTCTAAGTGAAATGTAGGCCTTTAAAGATCAAGTAATAGTGCAGTTGTCTGTTTACTGGGTGGGATCGCTAGTCGAATGTCTAACCTTCCTTTCTTTAAAGGCTTACTATCCATCAGTAGCAAACTTGGTGGATTAGGAGTATGTTAGCCTGGAGTGGAGCCAAGACCACCTGCGTAGTTGGCGAGTAGTCTATTACTGAAATACTGGCATACATTATCATTAAGCTACTGTTTAGAAAAATCTGAACTGATTTAACCACGTATGACTGTGTATTTCCCTGCCCGATATTGCCCACCATATTGTAATACTTAATACGGAAGATAGAATGCAAATATCTGTGATCGAAAACAATTAACTTTTTCACATCTCCCATTTTCAGTTGCTATATGTATCATAGCCATAGAGGAAAACAGAGTGAAACTACGCATAGTGAAAACATTCAAATATTACGTCTACGTTTATATACATAGAATATTCCAGGATAGTAGTCAGTAACAATATTATTATATTATTATTGTATCCTTTAGTTCCTAGAGGAACATAGGGCTTCAGCCGCGCGTCTCCATTGCCTTCGGTTTCCTGACAACTTTTTCACCCTGCTCCAGGTCTGTCCACATGCTTTCATCTCCTCCTCGCATGACCTCCTCCAAGTCACCCTTGCACTGACGACCAACTCGCCGCCTCCCTTTCGGGTTCCACTCGAGGGCTTGTCTAGTGATGTCACTTGATGGTTTCCTCAGCGTATGGCCAATCCATCTCCATTTCTTTCTGCCTATTTGTTTCACAATCGGTTCCTGATTGGTTCGCTCTAATAATAATAACAATATTAGTGTTTTTTAAATAATATCGATTTTCAAAGTAGGATCGCAATGGAATTACAGTTTATTAAAGATGCTTAAATTATAATAATAACAAAGATGTAGTAGCAAATAAAATATCAACTAAAATTAGAAAAATTCCACAAAAATTCAGGATCATTCAAACCTAGGTGGCCAAGGTAAGGATAATGTCTGAACTAACTTCTTTTGGATGCATAAATTATGCTTTTAACTATGGATCCCAACAGCCTCTGCAATATTTAGTAGTCGAACTCTTCAAGCAAAATTGAGATTTGTAGGTATGCGGTAAATGACCGTGAAAGCATGGTTAACGTCGATCTTGTGTTCTATATCCACAAGATGAGATAGAATAGCGTTGCGAATAGATTTTGTTTGTCCTTTACTTAACCACTGTGCAGGGTGATATTCGGAAATTCGACGAGTAACACGACTTATTGTACGGCATATGTAACTGGCTCCACAGGAGCAGTTAAATTGGTAGATACACATGGAAGAGGCGAAATTAGGCAGTTTGTCTTTTACTCCCGAACGGAGAAGATACAGCGTCATTCGGTAGCAGGGAATGCTCTTTTTATCACATTTCTAAGGCGCTGTGTAAGTATCTCGCTGGTGTTGTCCCCAAGGAACTGTATTTGTAAGAATAAGGCCTTTTTTGGAACTGTTGATAACTTGGGCTGCTTTGGTTTTAGATTCATATTCTTTTCGGTCAATCCGTCCATCAAGACACATGGAACTTCGCAAATCAGTGGTCAACACACTCCATTACTTCACTCCCTATTTTTCTTAACGGAAACTAGGATTCATCCTATGCTGGTCTAATAGACGACTAATACACAGTTAGGACTAAATTATTCCTAGCTTGATATAGATACGTACTGTCTCTTAATTCATACAGATAATAACCACAAATGAGAAATGAAATGAATGTATCCAGTGAAATGTTTTCGTTGGGTCTTTCCTCACTAATTATCTTTATTTTAGTATTTATAAAAAAAAATTTATAATCACACTTTTTTGCATAGAATGATAAGTTATATCAACTCGGCTGCAATACAAATACAAGAGTAGAAATACAAGACGCCAATAAAATCACATCGATTTCATGTATGAATAACTTTCATGAAGAACAGTTGGCACCCACTGATCAAAATGTTGAACAAAATTTCTATAATCTATTAAAATACTTCGAAGAACTATTTGGGAAACAAATAGATACAAATTCACAAGTAGAAATGGATGAGAAAAGAACTGCTATAGGAAATACTTCATTACAAAACTTTGTAAGTTTACTTTAAAAAGGAATGATCTCATTTGTAAAATTGATGTTAAGTCACCTCGTGAAAGCTTGATTTAAGTGAACTTTATGAATTTATAACATTACAATGTAACCTAACTATTGGACATAACGAAAGAAACACAAGATGGTACTGACTGTAGCAATCGTGTAAAACCAATCGAACGTGGTGTAATTTAAAGTTACATGGAAAAATCGTAAAGCTGAAAATCTTTGAGTTGTATTTGTGACTTTCAAGCTACACAGTTAGTGATGAAAATTCATCAAGTTTCCTTTGAGAAAGCAAAATTGTTAAATCACAGTACACGAAACTATTATATTATTACTATTTCCTTTAATTCCTAGAGGAACATTCGGCTTCAGCCTCATGCCTCCACTGTGTTTGGCTCTCTGGTAGAGTTTTCACCTGCTCTAAATCTGCCCAAACTCTTTCATCTCCTCTTCACATGACTTCCTCCAAGTCACCCTTGGATGACCAACTCGCTGCTTCCCTTTCGGGTTTCACTCGAGGGAGAGCCTGGCGTGTGATGCCATTTAATGGTTTCCTCAGAGTATGGCCAATCCATCTCCATTGATTTCTGCTTCTTTGTTGAAGAATCGGTTCCTAGTAGGTTAGTTCGCTCATCGCCAGAGATCCCTCCCTGTTGCTGATCTTTTCAGGTCGGCCATCTGATCTTGAGCGAAGTACTGATCAAAGACAGCTGTTAATGAAAGTCTGTAGTTTGTTTGAGGTGCTCTTTATGACGCACAAAATGCCTGTTACTAAAAAATCGCAATCAAGGAATATGATAAGGTAGGATATGTTACTAATTGTTGTGAGTAGTAAAAAACGATTCACATACAAAAATGGTAGTACCTTTTAATCATATTTGAGTAATCTCAAAGAAAGACAGCTGTTTTACTCACTTGATGCCGAGTTCATAAGCTCGCAATACCAAATCAATTGAAGCTACTCAATCTGTCTAGCAAACATCACTGTTTGACGCAAGCGATCTCCAGCTTCTAAAATCAGTCATCAGGATACCTATCGTATTAGAGATCTTTCGTCAGGAACAGTAGAAATGTATAAAGAAATAGTAGAAGGATGTGTAGAGCATCTCTTAGAAATACATTCATTCTCTATCCTTTTTCAAAACTTTTAAATATAAATTAACAACCTACCAAGACTTTTCTCTACATTTATGTCATTCTTTCTGTCTTCACAGATAAGTCATTAATTTGACTAACATTTTTTATCTTTTGAATTAAAAAAACAGTACTAAGTTACACATTTCTATGAAGGATAGTCTGGAAAGGTTTCAACCATCGGACTAGTACTGTTGAGTTAATAATATTGAGGTATATGCAGGTAATAATATAGAAAGACACTATGTGTCTCTATAAATTGAATAGACTATAATGTCGCCCTATAGTATATTATTTTTAAGCAGTAGTGTAACAACAGAAGACAAGGGCCAGGCAACAGATCGTGTATTAAAAAATCAACACATATTTATAGACCTTCATGTTTATATTATAGATCACTGTTAGCAGAAAAGCACAGTCTTCTAAATGGTTGTTTCTCACAGAGAGTTAACCTTGCATCTCTTTGTGACTGTTTCTTGAATGTCAGATCATCTATATGTTAACTTTATCCGCCTACGCAAAGCCTTTGTTCTTATTTTTCTCACAATCAATATTGGGTACATAAAAATTGACGTAAATTACTGTCCACCAATTTTGGCTAACAGCCAGAACTCACCACAGTGGTAATATCAGCCTATTTAAGATAAATTAGAGAATTTTACAATCTAACAGTAAGTGCTTAATTTTCAGGATATTTTGTTAACAACCAATAAAAGAACTGCACGTGTTACTACTATTAGCACTGAAAATAAATAACCTGATAACCAGAAAGTATACATGTGAAATAGAGAAATCGAAAGAACACTTCACATTATAAATAGTTCTTGAGCACAGAGTACTTGGTAATATCAATATTAAAAGTGAGATTTAGGAATGACTCTGCAGGAACTTATAGTTATTGTTATTAATTGGTTAGAGGAGTTCATCATGAGCTGACATCAGTTAGAGAACCATTGGAAAACCAACTTGAAGTACTGGACAAATGTTTCGTCCTATTTGGGGACTCTTCACAGCACGCACCCAAAAACTATCACGAAACAGCTGTCCAGTACTCACAGTCGGTTTTCCAATGATTCTCTAACTGATGTCAGCTCATGATGCAATCCTCCAACCAATCAAACGAAATCCCTATAAAAACCAATACTATTATTTTCCTCTTCTGTTTAGAATGAAAAATAAGGCTTCAGCAGAACATCTCCATTTCAATCTCTTCTGTTGTCTTTCTTAGTTGGCTCCATCTTCAGTTGTCTTGTGTGTAGTAGTAGAGCACATTGCCACATTAATTCGGGCGTTAAAATGTTTCTTTTTCAAGTATTCTCAGCTGATTCAATAAACAAAACATCAGTCAGCAGTCTCTCCTATCATCCTCGAAGATTTGATTTTATGAAGGTCACTTTTATCAGTCATATGATATTTTTGAGTGTGACTGCAATGAGTGCTGTAGTTGAGCTCAGTTCGTGCAATCACCTAACTCACCAAGCTAAGATTTTGTGCTCGGATACTGGAGTTGACAACCGGCCTACCACTTTGATCTGTGTTTTTATTATTGTTGTACTACAAATGGTACAAAGATCATCAGCAGCACATCTCTCTTGCGCTCATTTTCCCGTCATTAGTTTCAACTAGGTCAACGAGTGCCCACAGATTTTCATTTTCTTCATGTTAACTTTCAACGTCAAGCCGATCACTTCCCATTCGGGTTCCACTCAAAGGCCTCTCTGGTGTATGATTTCACCCAGCGGTCTCCTCAGCGTATATCCAAACCATCTTCACTTCTTTTCCTCTTCATATTTGCCGAGTAATGAGTATTTGGCTTATCCTTGTCCGTTGACCATCTGATCTCCAGTATCGAGCGAAGGTATCTGTTAATTACACTCTGTAGAAGGCTATTAAAATACGTTTTGTGACAGACGTGCCAAGTCCCTGAAGTATATACACGCACTGACTGACTTGATATTTGTGTTAAAAATCCAGAAATTATTTCTAGCGCTGAGTGCTGCAGCTCTCCACATTAATTTCGGGGTGATGAAAACCCAACTTATTTCTTCGATCTGATCCCGGAAGGTTTTGACATACTCGTCCATGTCACCTCTAGTTAAAACTAAGATACCCAAATAAATGAGACGGATAACTTCCTTCACCTGTCACCAATGAGTGACATAGTGAATAGCGCTTTAGCCTTCAAAACAATGGATACTTGGCTCCAGTTTCAGTGGGAATACCATCCACCATTCACTGGGGATTCAAGTACATCCAGCTCACGGGAGCGAGACACAACAGATGGCGCATGCTGGACTCTGCTATTAGCTACCATCAACCGAATGACATAATGTTTACTGTCAAACACTGTCTAAGTCTTCGTACTAGGAGACGATATGTCACCAAAAACCAAGTATTTTGTCTTAATATGATCCATCACAACAGAAAAAGATCATTGTTGTTTACAAAAAGATCATATAATAATCACTTTATAACTTCTCTTTATGTCATTATTTATACCACAAAAGCATTTGCCGAACAATCCTTCTAATTCAAATGAAAATGAAAACAGCATTTCCTCACATCAAACGTGTTTAGGAGACATGAATTTACTAAATGAGAATAATAGTAATAATAACAATAATAATAATCACCATCATGAACTGGGTGAAAAGAATTCGATCAATTCAAAATCTTTCCTACGGAAGACAATAAATGATACTGTCAATATTAAAAATAAATCGTACCTCAATGGTTCAATTGAAAAGATGGCAGACAATAATTCAAAACAATTAACAACGCCAAAGACCACTAATACTACCACTACTATTACTATGAATTCTTATAATTCATATTTATTGCGAAAACTAAACGATGAAGCTTCTAAGGAAAATCAACACAACCAGACCATAAATGGGAAAAAGGATAATAATAGATATAAAAAATTTCAACCGAAATCGAATACCAATCCAGTAAAAACATCGAATATTAGTAAAAATATTAATAATAATAATAACAATGGCTTAACTTTAAAGAATCCGACACGATCATCATTAAAACAATGAAATATTCATTTAATATCAAACAAGAAATTTTAAAAAAAACATTTTCAACATTTAACCAGCGAAAAGGAGAAGCATGAAATAGCCTAAAATGATAAAATGAATTCAATCGCGATAAAAATCGTACGAATTAAACAAATTAAACCAAAAAAAATTAAGGTGGAGTTAAAATTTCAAATTCACGCCAACTCTTTATTTACGTTAAAATTAAAACAAAATAAAATTGACAGTTGAATAACTGTTTGAACCAAAAGTGTAACAACAATGTTCTATTGTACAAAAATTGTTGTCTGATAAATAAAGTTTAGTTGAATGATTCTTTTAAATATTTAAAAACATAAATTATTTCATGAGATGTTGACACTTTTTCTTGTGAAAATGCGAATCTAGTCAAACTTAATCAGCTAAATGCAAAGAGGAATCACTTAAAGTGAATAAAAATAATACATAAGTACTATAACATTTTGTCAAGTGTTCGTCTGCAGGAATCTGATCGGTTATTGGTTTGATCATGAGGTGACATCACTTGAAGAAACATTGGAGAACTAAGGATTGCTGGGTAGCTCTTTCGTCCGGAGGTTCTAATGAGAAATCAAACCTAGCGGAGTCCACCGAGTTAGGCAAGAGAATAGTCACTTTACTAAAATAATGGCTGATGGTTGCACTATGTATTGTGAATCGGTAGAAGTTAAGATCATGGGTCAGTGAATGAATGGTCTACAAGCTTGCCTTGTAATCAAAAGGTTCAGGATTCAAGTACACATGGGTTCGTAGTCCTAAAGAGTCGCAGACTGGGACGAAACAGGTGTCCAGTACTACTTGATTTTCCAACAGTTCTCTAACTGATATCAGCTAGTGATAAAACCTGTAAAACGTTTTGTATTCAACCTTTTTTTCTTCACAATATTGCACGTTGTGTCATCGCTTTCACATGCTGACACCATCATAACGGCTAAGTCGACTGAATATACATATAAACACTTGTCTATTCATTCATCTGTAGGTTAAGATTCTTACTCTTCCAGAATGAATAACTAAGTATATACCATCAATGAAATCCCCTAATTAAGTGCTCATATTAAATAGATTACATAGCTAAAGGTGACTTAGAAATTATCATCAATCAAGAGTAAATGAACCCACATCTTCAGCTTCACTATATACAAAAAATGCATAAGTATTAGCTTATAATAACGTGATGATTATGGCATCTTCATATCTGACTTCATATAGTATACTCATAGACGATGTATCATTAGGTTGTAATACTTTATACTTACAGTAGATGGAGAAAGTAAATTACGGCAGTCCTTAACCGGCGTTCGTAAAGCCGTCAAGAGTTAATATTACTCACCGTTTAAAAAGGGGAGAGACAACGCAAATATCAGTGGTCAAAGACAGCTAGCTTCTTAAGGTCATTCACTTTAGCTAAATGTCATACCTAAGCCACAGATGATGTTATTTAGAAAACTCCATACGAGTCTTTATTATCCGTGCTGAGAATCTGTCAGCAATCAACCGATTAAAGCTGATGTAACTTCCAAAATAAGTGAAATGTTCAACGCGTCCAACTATTTCATTAAGCATCTTCAAGCAAGTTCTCTAGTAGCATCTTACACTTGACAGGGGCGAATCGCATGCTAAGGGTACCAAGATTTCACCTAAAGGTGTTCAGAACACTCTACATTTTGTCAGCGTCTTCATCTAGAAGCACCATATCATCTGCGAACCCTAAATAGACGAAACTGTACCCCGGTAACAAGTTATTCCCCAAGTCGCCAAAGTCAATTTGAATCAACTCCATCAGTACATCTATCATGAAATTCAACAAAAGTGGAGACACGAGGCGTCTCTGGCAGACACTAATCGTTATCATCACTTCAGATGATAACTCTCCGTAAGCTCTTACACAGCTGTGTGAGTTTGAGTAGAGTGCTTTGACCAATGTGATATGCATTCCCAACACTCCAACTTACCTCAAGACATCGACACCGCACCTCTCGATCGACAGAGTCGAATAGCACCTTTGAATTGAGAAATATAACAAGTGTTGAGAGCTGATAAGTGTAACGGCAGAACAAAGGCGGATTTAGTAAAGGAATCATCTACTGACCAATCAATGTACGGATATAGGTAAAATACATGTAGCACATGTTAAATTCACAATTTATACATGTATTCCGTATTCCACTTCTTTGTCTTCCTTTCGTGTTTTCTACCTTGTTTTACAAGAAACATCCATTTCTCCTCTTCGCCATTACATCCACCTCTCCACTATTCGATAATCTTGCACATTATATACATATTTATATTTCAATCTGTAGACTACTTATAAATCTTATCAGTAGCACAGGCCATATAAGTATACGTTTCAAAATCTGTCGAAGACTGAAAATATGGTGAAAACACTCTTTTCTTGCATAAATAAGAGTAAAAAAATACGCCTACCACATATAAAAATCAAAATCTGCACACATCTTCAGCACTGTGCTACTTTAGTCTTCTTCTGATGTTTACCATGTTGATTCACAGGAATCGCCCATTTCTCCTCTTCGCCACTAAACCCACCTCTTTGTTATTCGATATTCTTGTAGATAATATACATATTTATGTATTCATCTATATGCTAATTATAGATCTTTTCAGTAGCACACGTCACACGTATGTATACACAAATATATATATATATATATATATATGCATGTGCTGAGATGAATCAATATAGAGGAGAGAACTTCTTGAGTTTGATTTAATGTGTGCAGGTAGCTCCCTTCGACAAGCCTTACCTTTCAACCTACAGGGAAATTTTGTTTATGAGTCTGCAACAATCAGTGAAAAGCTCAAATTTTATATCAATAAGACTCCAGAAGATTTGGATTTCGCGCATGGGTGATTTATGTTTAATGTCATACACACAAAAACTCGAAGACTTGCAGGCGAAAACCAACAAACTCTTTGAAGAAGCAGACAGCAAAGGCAGGACTGCAGCTGAACATAGAGAACACGGATGTGAGGAAGATCAACGCCAACCACTACCAATCACTTATCTAGGAAGCGTCGTGACAACTACAGGCAGTCGGAACGGATGAAGATGTCAGGGTCAGAATGAGAAGGGTAAGATATGCCTTCATCAACCTGAAACCAGTTCGGAGATCTTCTGCAATGCACTTGACGAATGTCACGAAAAGGATTTCCAACAACCTGTTCAAGACTTTTATCAACAGCTGCCACCTTCGCTGGCTTCATATTGAAGACCAAATGGTAGACCAGAAAGAATTAGCAACAAGAAGCTCTGACTGGGAACAAACCAAACAAGAGCCGATCACTCAACAAACATGTAGGAAAGAATGGAGATGGAGTGAGAATACATTGAGGCGACCGTCGAATGACATCGCGCGCAATGCAAGCCATCGCTCGAGTGGAATCTAAATGGGAAGCGACGAGTGGGTTGCCTGTGTGGGGGTGACATAGAGGAGATAATGTGGCGAGGAGAAGATGAAAGATAATGGGCAATCTTGGACCCAGCTGAAGAAGACGGCAGAAAATAGAACAAAGTAGAGATGTATTGTTGAAGCCCTCCCTATATTCCACTCGGAACGCAAGGGAATAATAATGTGATTCCATTTTTACTTCATCCCTCAACCTTCAGAATCTATTCAATAAACCTATGACTACAATATTAGCACTAAATGAGATATACATATATCACCATCACAAGTACTATATGAGGTACAGGAAAGAACATAACAGCAAGAAAGCAAATGGATGAGTAGAAAATTAAAACAAAACGTCAGTGAATCAACTAATTAATTATATTGACAAAATCGACTCAAAAAAATAAAATAAGTACATTTAAAAAAAAGTTATTTCCGGTATGTAAAACAAGAAGAAAAAAAAGAGTCACATTTCAACATCTTCACTTTTTAATTTTCTGATATATCCCAGGTAATTGTTTTAACATTCATAAATTCATGTAAAGCATGCGGTCCACCTTCACGCCCAATACCTGAATTTTTAACTCCCCCGAATGGTAATTCAGGTGTACTAACAAACCCCGTATTTAAACCAACCATTCCAACTTGTAATCTATCTGCCATACGCCAAGCTTGATTTATATTCTCTGTATAAATGTATCCAGCTAAACCATAGAATGTTTCATTTGCCGCCTCGATTACCTCTTCTTCACTTTTAAATCTAAATAGAAAAATAAAAAATTAAAATTTAGTGGAACATTATGCTACAGAATCCTTTGAAGTGAAAACGGGAGTAAAAAAAAAAGGCTGTCTACTATCTCTAGTGATTTTCCTCATTTCCGGCAACGAAGAGACAGGCATCAAAATGGACCCAACACAAAAAACTTGAAGAATCTAGACTTGACAGATGATATATGTCTGATTTCCCACAAACTGGAAGATATGCAAGTGAATAGCAACAAGCTGGCAGGAGAAGTATCAATGAGAGGACTTCCTTCAGGTGAACATACAGAAAACAGAGGTGATGAAAATTCCTGGCCAACAACAACCAACAATAAGAATAAATGGGAGGAACCCGAAAGAAACAACCTTCTTTACTTACCTGGGAGCTATCGTTTTCAACTACAGGCGGAACTGACGAGAATATTAAAGCTAGGATCAGGAAAGCAAGGTAAGCTTTCATTACTCTCAAGTCTGTGTGGAGGTCAACAGCATTCAGCATCAAAAATAACATCCGGATTTTCATCTCCAATGTGAAGTCAGTCAGTTCTACTATACGGATCAGAGACTTGGCGCGTAATAAAGAGCACCTCAAACAAACTACAGACCTTCGTCAACAGTTGTCTTCGCTCAATACTCAAGATCACATGGCCGGCCAGAAAAGATCACCAACAGGGATCTCTGGGAGCGAACCAACCAAGAACCGATTGTGAAACGAATTAGTAGCAAGAAATGCAGATGGATTGGCCGTACTCTGAGAAAACAAACCATCAAGTGACATTACACGCCAGGCCATCGCTCGAGTGGAACCCGAATGGGAAGCGGCGAGTTTGTCGTCCAAGGGTGACTTGGAGGAGACCATGTGAAGAAGAGATGAAAGCATTTGGGCAGACGTGGCGCCAGGTGGAAACGTTGGCAGATAACCAAACACAATGGAGACGTGCAGCTGAAGCCCTATGTTGCTCTAGGAACTAAAGGAGATAATAATGATAATAATAATAATAACGCTACAAAGATCACCGAATAGACTATTGGAAAAAACAATAATTAAG